TTTTTTACTCAGTCACAGAAATTCGGAAAAAAATAGGAAAGCAATTAGTAATATCCAGTACTCCACCGTGCAATGTTAGAAATCAGAGATATCTCGTACTAGACATCTGTCATATGGAAATATAGTACGAGATATCTCGTGCTATATTTCCTATGTGTTAATGGCCTCATTTCAGTCACCCTGGAGGCTGAAGGGTAGACAAAACTTTCGGGCGTTTTCTCGAATCCCGCCAGTACATTACGTTTACAGTTTATCGAAATAGATTTCTCAAAAAAAAAACCTTGTTCTCAACAGCATGTCTAAGCGCTGCTTTCTTCATCATTAAAAGAAAAGGGGGAAAGTTGTTTCTGACTTGTGGATGATGAATCGACAGAGATCGAGTGCCAGGCCCCGTTGCCACCGCTGAACGGGCGGCTTCTCACGAGCGGACCCTTCAAGATGTGGGACGTGGCGAGGTTCCAGTGCGACAAGGGGTATGTCATCGTGGGGTCTCCGCTCGTCGCCTGTCAGCCGGAAGGATCCTGGTCCTCCACTCCGCCCGTCTGTGAGTTGTTGGGGGGGAAGGGGGTAGGCAGCGGAGGTTAGCGGTGTGGAAATGGATATCGGTGTCGTTTAGGTCGGGTTGGGTGCGGGTACCCGGAGCTGACCGTGCCGCGAGGGCAGTTCAGCCCCATCAAGTTCTACTACCAGCCTGGGGACACGGTGCTGGCGACGTGCGCTCCAGGCTACTTCTTGCAAGGGGAGGACAAGCTGGCCTGCTCCTCGAATGGGACGTGGGAGGGGACGCCGGGGAACTGCACCCTGGCCATGTAGAAGGGTGGAAGGGAGTGGGTCGGTCGGGTCTTGTCCTTGTGTCTCCTGTATTTGCTTTCGTGGTCGGGCTGCAGCACGGTTGGATGCGTTTCTGACGCTTGTGGGGAGAAGAATGATGGATTTGGGGTGTTTGGGGTCACTGTTTCACTGTTATGAACGTAATTAAATGTTTTGTTGCCCTGAAAATTGCTTTGATTTATTCACTTGCCTGATTCCAAGTTAGAGGGCATGAGAATATATTTTCCAGGACCAAGTCGTGTTTTCAGACTAGCAGTTTTTACAAAATTGTGGGGAGAGTGAATACGACTCGAGGGATCGGTTAGAATGCATGTAGCTATACATGTCAAAACGTTTTGGTACAAAAACAAATGAATGGGGATGATACTGACAAGTATCGGTTCTCGGTCGATATTTGTTTAAGTCACCGATATATTGAGAATCGGCAGCTGTTGCCCAATCGATAATCAATATTTTAAATAATTGTTTGAACTACTGCCAAGCCGAGTGGAAGGCGAGGCCACCAGATCACTCCCATTGAACATCGGGCCTTCTGTTTTGCACAGTAGAGCATTTTTCACATTTATCTGGATGAACGAGATAATAGCATTCAGTAAATTTTCTACGATTCGATTTTGTACGGTTCTGATTTTTCCGAAAATCCACAACTTTCCACGAGAAGTAAAAGCGAGTTAGTAGCTTTTTGCCTTACTTTCCGCATGATACATTTCAATGGTCTGCAGCAGTCACTGAGACGAGGCATCGAGAAGATTGACATTTTGAACATTCCTTATGCTCCTAAGTTTTGTCCTAAGATTAACCAGATGAAGTTGTATCAGTTATCGGCATCGGTGTCGCCCATACCAGACGAATATGAACCTCATTTGCGTGATTCACTGCCATGATATTGTCACGATACGGTCGTGAGACACAGAAGGAAACAGGAAGAATTCAGGGAGTGATTGGCTGTGTCATGAACTGCAACACTGACATGAAAGCACGGAAGAAGTGCTTACTACCCTGGCCGGTAAGCTGGGGGGGGGAACCGGAAAGCACGTGGCTTATTGAATGGGGAAAGACTGACCTTGAATGAATCATCCCCATTGCATGATGGATCAGCGTCCTTCCTCGCCTGCGATTGACAGGCGCCGCCGACGGACCGCCCACTCCTTGTGACATTGCGCTGGTCCTCTGCTATCATTCCTATTCTTCGACTAGAATAATTGCTCTGGGGTGCGTGCTCTCCCCGCAAGGATGATTCATCTTTGCGGGGAGAGGCTGCGGCCTGAGACAAGTAGTGTCACATTTGACTCGCACGAAGGGCAAATGGATGACCGAGTGGAAGGACCCGGCCGAGGCGAGGACGACGAATGGTCTGTCGGCCGCTCCGAGGGCAGGGGTGCTGCATTGCTCTGGAAGGTGAGCGGAAGCACTGGTGCTTTCCTCTGGCATCCCGGCTTCTGTTGGTGCCTGGAGAGTGGGACTATTGCAAGGGTTATGTGGAGGTAGGCGGGCCTCCGCGAAAACCTTCAAATTCCATCTTTAGGTGGACCCGTGGATTATTTTATTTCGAGTTTTTGTTTTGAGTTGGCGGTATCGCAGGCGTACGTGAATTTTGTTTGGTTAGGGGAGGTCATTGCCTTTATAAATGGTCTTCAGAATCACGAGCGAAGATCGTGCGACGTAAACCAATGGGTTTCTGCTTGCGTGTTTCTTTCCATTAATATCTGGGGGAGTGGTTTCACAACGCGCACATGCGATATCGAGTCGTGGCTATTCTCAACGAGATGTGTCCGAGATAGTCGGCCTTAGGCGGGGTCCGGGCTCGGCCCCCCCCGTCACGCAACATTCTTCTCGTTTCCTCCCGTGTTCGCTACTTCCTGGTGACCCACTTGGACGAAGAAGCCGATCGGCGGGAATCGTGGGGCGGGTGTGGTCGGATCGAATGCGATGCCGTGGGGAGTCGACGGGGTTCGAGCGGCCGTCGATTTGCGTTCCATGAATGGACGAGAGACGGCGAAGGCTCGTCCGAGGGGACGGAGGGAGGGCAGCGTTGGCTACCCTACCTCTGGAGGGCAGCCAACGGGAGCACTTAGCCCGGGTCAGCGATCTGGGTTGGGAGAAACACTCCGGAAGTTGGCTTCGCTTTCGGGTCGGCTGCTAGAAGGGAGTCGGATGTTCGAGGGGAGTCGAGTGGAAGAGTGGGTCGAGTGGGTCCGTTGCCCGAACAAGGACCAGCCTCGTGAGCGGGGTGGCGGGCGTTCCCGAAGGATTTCTCAAAGGAGTCCGGAAATAGCTCCTCCCGAGCCGAGTGAATCTCCCGGGGGCAACGCCCTAGCAGAGTCAACATAGGGATGTCTCCCACTTTGTCACGAGACAGAGGCATAATCGATCGACACGATCAGTCACAATTAGACACGTTTCGTATCGTAGACGATCTGGAGGGTGGTGGGGAGGGGGGGGGGAGAATCGTAAGGTGCCGATGGCGGTGAGGCGTTCCGCATCGTTGCCGGTCGAGGTTCTCTCGATCCAGAGGGAATGAAGTCGTTCAGAACGAAAGAATACTTTTTTTATTTCCGAATTCCGGGTCCATTTCGCTCCACCAATCACGCTTTCATGCTCTATCACAAGACGAAGCAAGAACACAAACAACGGTACGGTTGGGTTCCGAACCGGACGGACGGGGTCCACCATCTCCTCCCGCGTTCCACCCCGCGTTCCACCCCGCGTTCCACCCCGCGTTCCACCCCGCGTTCCACCCCGCGTTCCTATTTGCCAGGACGCTCGACATGAAAACGACGAAGTGGAATCGTCGCGGAGAAGGCCAGAGTGATTCAACGTGGTTAAAAGATAATGCTATTTAATTAATTAAACTAATTCAATTAATTTAATTAATCACTAATTTTTTTAACTCTTAATTATTGCTGAGAATTCGGGAATCCCGTCGAATCGCTTCGACGTCTTCCCCCCCAAAAAAAAACCGCCAAGAGGAGATGGTGGACCTCGTCCGTCTCGTTCCGAGTCCCGGGACGCGGCGGGACGTCCCGAAATCACAAAAGTCTTTCACGTTTTTCTCTCGTCGTTTCGCGCGAAAAAAAATAAATGACGAACGGCAACGCGGACGACTAGGGATCCGACCGTCGGATCCGATTCGAAAAAACGAGAAGGCAAAGGAACCACAGAATACGGAATCCGCACTATGCAAAATAGTTGAGCAAACACGAGGAAAACGGGTTGGCTGGAATCTTGAAAAAATAAAGCCCGCGACGGTTGCGACGTCCGGCGACGACCACGCGACTCGAGTACGACACGGAAGAAAAAAAAAAATCCACAAGAGCGACATTTGAGCTGTCTCCGCGTTCGTGGGTCCTTTCCCGTCGCGACGATCGGCACGGATATACACCCACGAGTTCTCATTTTGTACATGTGCGACGCAGACACGGTGTTGGTGGGGGGGAGGACCGACACTCGCGAGCAATGACGACGACGATGGAAGTGTGGGGGTTCTTCCCACCGGGAGGAGTCCGTCCCACGTGGTGGAGAGGAGTCCTTCCCACAGGTCAGGTCCTTCCGCGGAATCTTCAGGAAGGCGCGAGGGCGTCCTTGTCGGTCCCGTCCACGTCGTCGAGGGTCTGAAGCCAGTTGAAGATCATCATGTTCCGCTCGTACTTGGACAGGGGTTTTCCCCGGTCGCGTTCCACGTCCTTGGCCGTCAGATGCGAGGCGCCGCCGGCGACGGATCTGCTCGGAGCGTCGAGGGTGAACCGGAAAGCGTGGAGGATCTCCTTGGGGTCGCCTCGGCGGGCCCGGGCAGTCGGTGGGCCCTTCGACTCCGCCCGGGCGAGGCCCAGCTGCCGGAAGGTCTTGTACCCGAAGGCGAGGCGACGCCGAATGTAGTCGAAGCGAAGTTTCTTGTTCACGGAGCGGACGAAGTCGGCCGGTGTGAAGGAGGGCGGGGGGGCGTCGCCCGCGTGGGGCGAGGGGAGCTGCGACGTCGAGGCCACGTCCCCCACCGCCACCCAAGTCGAGCACGAGCGGGAGGCGTGGTCCAGGCGCCACAACGGGACCTCCAAGCCCCGGCCCCATCCCACCTGCAAGGAGGCTGGGTTCAGTTTCGGGATTCGGTGTTGGTGGGGGGCTGGGGGTGGCTTGGGGGGAGGGGACTTGGGGGTGGGAGGCGTGTGCGTGTTCTGACGAAGCGAAAGTGAGAAGCGTCTTTTCTTACTTGGAGTCTACAGGTATACGTTGTGGTCGCTTTTTCGACAATAAATTAATTTTAGAAGAGAAACTTCTCGATGAGAACACCAAAATTAAAAAAATTGGCGATTTCGCTGTTTTGCGCGAAGGTAGGTTTGCTCCAACAGACGGAAAAGCTTTCTTTAAAAAAAGTGTTCAACGATAAGGCCGCAATCAATGGTAATGTTAGCTTACAGTTCCAGTCCGGAGGTTCCAAATATTATTATTCAATACATGATATCAAATATGGCCATACATGGGTTCTTTATGTAAAACATAAAAGAAACAAATATGTACATATCATGTTTGGCCATATAAAGTCCCTTAACTACTTCCAGGCAAGTTTGACGCATATATGGTCAAATATGTCCAAATAAATCCTGTGCATACGACTGAATTTGGTACTTCCGTAAGGGTTTCGACAGGTGTCCCGAAAATTCGCAGAAATTCTCACTTGGAGTTAATAAGAAATGTTCGCTTCTTGCTAAAAAAAAAAAAGGAAAAAAAAGTACTTAATGACACTTCTCGATGAAAGCACATAAATTATAAAGAAATATAAATAAATTCATGCAAAAAAAGAAGGGAGTTGCAGGCACACACGCCTCCACGCGCTGAACGGCAGGGAAGGACGGCCGTTGTGACTCACGTCGGAGGAAACCCGTCGCAGCGGCAGTCTTGGGGGATCCCAGAGGTCGGAGGCACTGAAGGAGCGGGGCAGGCCGAGGGCGGAAGCCAGGGCGCCGCAGTCGTGGATCAGGTCCGCTTCGTCCTCGCCGAAGGGGCTGGAGGAGGAGGGACAGGGGATGCTTCGGGGTCCTCCTTTGTCGCATGGGGTGGGGCTCAGACCTGGAAGGGAGAATGAGATGAGGGTCGCGTGTCGAAGAGGGTGGGGGCGGGAGGGGAGAGGGGAGAGGACTGACCGCGGGAGAACCTGGAGACGGAGAGGCGATGGAGTGCGGATGCTTCACTGGAGAGGGAGAAGAGGGAAAGCTCGGTGGTGACGCTTTCGTGGCTGGGGGAGCGGGGCATCTTGGAGCAGTTCGTGGGGGGGATGTGGACGAGGATGGCCGGGGGGGCGGATGGTTCGGGGGCCGTCTCTCCTCCTAGTTTGTCGCACTCGGACATCTTCCGGGATCACGTGAAGTCGCGGGAAGACTTGTTGAGGCTGGAGGGAGCCATGTTTTCACTGATTCCCTTGAGCCTGGGAGATTCTTGGGGTCGCGCCTACGCACATCAGCTGGGCTGCCACGAGCATCGATCCTTCCTCTCTCGCGCTTCCCTCTCTTCTCCTTCCTCGGTTCGACGGGGGAGAGGAGACGCACTCGCTTTGACGACTTTTTGGTGGGGGCCCATGCGATCGAGAGGCTGGGTGGGGTGGGGGTGGGGTGGGGGTGGAGGGGTGGCCGCTGGGGGATGGGATCGATCGGGGTGGCGTTTTTTTTTTTGGGTCGGAGCCTCGAGGGTCGGGCGAGAGATGGGGCTTCGTGTTTTCCTTTGAGGGAGTCGGAGATGTTTGCGTTGCGCTTAATGGAGTCATTACTTCGGTGCTCTTTGATAAAGTTTCGATGAGGTCGGAATCCAATGAATAATGATGATGCCATTACGTTTGGAGGCACGCATCCTGATAGGTACATAGAGAAAACATGAGAATTTCTGTTTCCGAAAGGGCATCGGGTCCCTGCAAACTCAGATCATCGGTGTCGCGTCATAAATACCTGACGGTGGGAACGCCTCCGATAATCGTTAGATTGCTGAATGCCACGCGCGCTCGAGAACTCCGAATACAGAGCGGGAACGCAACAGCGACCGCTAAACACCTGAACGCGGGCGACATCTCGGGAGCGAACCGAGCAACCTCCCATTCCGCCACCTGTCTTATCGCGAGGGAAGTCGAGGAAGAAACCTCCAGATCCTCTTCCGGTTCCCGCCTATTCGATGCATGTTCTCCGATCGGAAGAGCGCTGACGTCGTTTCTCGCACTGGATGATCCGGAAAGAGATTCTGGCACCCTCGATCGTCGCCTTTCCTTCGTTACTTCGTTTCTAAAGCAGATTTAAAGTTTTGGCCTTCATGTAAACACCGTGCCACGAGCAACAGGTCATCCCTGGGAACGGAATTTTAAAGTCAGGATTCAAACCGACGAGTGAAAGACCGGCGTGCATCGAAATTATAGGGGGCTCCGCCTCTGCATATGGTGAAAAGGGCATTTGCACCTCCTGGCTACTCTAATCACGTCGTCGACGGAATAATTTTCGTGTTGGGATCTGTATTTGATCTAATTCGGTCTCATTTCGGGCGACAAGGCTGCAATGAAGTCCACGAACATCGAAATAATCCCTGTGTTCAACACGTTACTTACACCCCTTCGGGACCACCCCGTGAGTCTGCCTCACCTGTCCGTAGGGACAGGTGGGGGACAGGTGGGGGACAAGTGGGGCAGCCTTTATCTACGGCGGGCACGCCACCGACGACTCCGTATCGTTCTGAGATTCCCGGAAAATAGAGGTAAAGATGTAAACTCGGCGTGAGGCTCAAAGAGCGACTCCGTTCTTATATGGGCTGTGCGACGAGCCCTCTTCGTGATATCTCGGGGATCTCCCATCGAGTTCGAAGAACGAGGCGAAAGGCCCGTTCGGAGAAAGACAGGCAGGAAGCTCGAGACTTCGACGATCACGCGTTTAACGATCCGCGTTCTCCATCGGCGCCGATAGAACGCCTGTGCGTTAAGTCGCATAGCTTTGACGGCATTTCGACGCGCTGGGCGAACTTCCGCTCCCAAAAAGAAACTTTTCCCTCGTATGCATGCGTGCGGACGGCCCGAATCGAGACCGGTCCTAATTCCACACCCATGCCTCGCGTTTCACGAAAGCCCCTGGATGTAAGCCTAAGTGGACATGCGTGTGCACGCGTGCATCCGCCCACCTGCCCGAGCATTCACGCGTAGGACGCGAGCCACGCAGAGCGCGAAACGCCTTCTCGGTTCGGCAACTGCCCCCTCCCCCCCTTTACCCCACCCCCCTCTGCCTCGAGGTGATCGCACTGTCAGCCTCCCTTTTGCTCCAGCCGGATCGATGCACGATGCAAAAACAATGGACGCGTGGTCTTCCATGCGTGCCGAAGAATGAGGATATGAATCTGGTCCTTGCCTGCATGCGATCGCTTTCGTTTCCACATTCCGTCGAGGACGGATCGGGAAGAGAAAGGGCGGGAAAACGTTTTCCTTGTCTTTTTCGCGTCTCGATCGAAGGAAATCGGCATTCACATAGCTCTTTTCTATCATTTATTATTTATTTAGATATATATATTTTTTACCCTTAGGGTGGATTTTTTAACAGAGCACTATCCGATAATGCAGATTGATTTACCGGATTTATAATGCATTTTCCCTGAAATAGAGCTGCATTATCGGATAGTGCTCTGTTCAAAAATCCGCCCTTAATCTGCCTCTCCGTGCGGATCACACTGGAGTCTGCGAGAAGGGATCCGACGGCGAACGGGCACTCTGAAGAAATGCCTTTCAGATCTTGAATTCAATTCAGGAGATTACAAATGCGAATACATGTTCAACTTATTCAAGGCGACAGCAGAAAAGGGCAAGAGATGAGGCCTCCGAATTCTTTTCCTTTGCTTTCTGCAAGGACCAGGGTAAAATAAGGCAACGATGCCTTGCGTGCCACCATCGTCGAGCAATCGGCGTAAATTGCCTGTTATCATTCCGTTGTTCTTATTTTATTTTTTCTTTCGTCCTGCATGTGCGTGCCAGGGGGCTCCGAGCTTTCGTTTGGATTTGGACCAGATTCTTTACGGGTGACGAGGCATCGAGGTTGGCCCCCTGGAAGGATCTGAAGGCGTTTTCGGGGGTCCAACGCCCAAGGGAATTTTTGCCCCCATGAAGCGACATGGGGGGCATCGGAGTGTCCGAGGCGTTGGGCAATGCCGTCGAGAGGCCGGGAAGACGTAAGTCGAGGAAGAAAGAAAGGGAGTCGTGACGTACGACACAATGATCCTGGTTAGCAAGGTACGGACGAAAGGTCGGGAGGAAATGCAGCATCGGGATCAAACGTGAGGCGAGACCGAGTCTGGAGCCTGGGATATCGTGCTCCTGCTCGTGGCTGAGATCGCTCAGTAGACGCCTACGCTTGGGTCGGGAGGAGGCCTCGGTGACGGACGACTTCCCACGGTTCGGGTTGAGAGGATACCGAGCCCGATGAGGACTCTGCTGGAGGAGCCCGTTGTCAATATGGCGTCTCCCGTGTTCTCGTGTTTTACTGTGCGTGTGTGTGTCCGGGTGAAAGTGATGTCGTGGATAGTGCACAATCTCCATGCAGAATCCCATTCTCAATCTGCCTAATGGATGACCTATTCGCATCTGCCCCGTGGTTATTAGAAGGCCTTCTTCCCATCTTTGGACTCTTTGCCTTGGCCATAGTTCTGGGGATGTGCACCTGCTTATGGAAGAGGCCATCGTAAGTATATATAGGCCTAGGGCTACGAAGTAGTGTAGGGCTGCCATGTTCCCGCTCCATATTCATGTTTTATCAACCCTTAACAGTTTTCCTTTAAAATAATAAGTATTAACATTAGTAGGAAAGTAGGACAGACTTGCCCCTGAGATGTGGGATAAAAAACCAAAACTGTCTGTTAAATATAGACAATTAGGGTTATCACAAATGGTAAATGTAATGGTTGCTACTGTCAATGTTACCATAGTGCTTATCATGGTTTGGTAAGCATTATTTGTGGAAAAGTGAATCCCAAATGTTTCAATTAAACTTCATATGCTTCATTTTCCATGTTTGATGACTTTCTCTGTTGGGAATTTTGTTTCAGCCATGATGTTGGGTCAGATCAGAATGCCAATATCACAATCTTGAGTGCAGCACCTTGTCGAGGGTCAGAGAGCCCTCTTTTGGCCAATGGGGATCCATCTCACATCCATTCAAGCAGTCAAGAAACCCATCAAAAGTAATTACTCTGCTGGATTCAAGTCAAGGTGAAACTGAATCAATGTGCAGTTTTATATTTCCATTTCCAAAATTGCAGGAAGGCCAATCCCAATCGCAGGCTGCCTGAGATCCCTCCTGAAAGTGGGTCTGTTGGAGATGAGATGCCAACCAATCTTGTTTATGCTGTTGTACCTGACAGAGTAACTGTTCCAAGTAAGTGAAAAGATTTTTCAAGTTTCATGTGACTTTACATTTCTTTCTATATTGACAAGGTGTAATTTCATGTATGGGTGTTGATTTTTTTTTTCACTTTTCTCTCAGATGGGAAGGTAAGTCCACCTCAAGGTGCAATGGCAAAAAAGAGAAGAGCTCCAGATGTTCCTACTCAAAGCACACCCCATCGAAGAGGAACAGAGGGAAACCCATCATCAGATTCGGAGATTGATCGGGACAAGGAACATCCTTATGCACGAGTCAAGAAAGTCCATCCTCATCGAAAGAGTAAAATCATATTTTACCCTTTCTTGCTTGTGAATTGCCATGTTGCTCTATGCCTGGTAAATACTGTCCTACTGGTATTCAAATGCTACAATACTACTGCAAACTAGTATTCAAATGCAAAAGAGATCAACTGAACTATTCTACTAATGTACATGCTTTGGAAAAAGATGTAGAAGACCCTGCTATAGGAGGTATTTCACATTAATTTTTTAATATAAAAATCCAGATGAAGCTATTATCTGGTGCTTTATTAGAGATATAGAAGTGCTATTCAAGATTCTTTTGTGAAAGTGAAACTGAATAGCTATTTTAATGCAAGTCCATTTCAATATTTATTAGCTTCCTTCATATAAAGGCTTCAGCAGTAACCCTCTATGTTTTTGTTTTGCCTATATGTATTTACTAACAGAAATTCAGTATGACCTGGGTTCCCAGTTATCCAGCAATGAAAGTTCTAGTATTAGACATGTAGACACACTGTTAGAAAATATAATTGGCTTGTTTTCTTGGATATCTTGACTGAGTGACAGCTGTAAATTGTGCAAGAGACTTTAGTCCTGTCTTTTTTTAATGTATTTTGGATTGAGAGTCACAAACTACCTAGCAATTCATAAAATGGGGACCCCCAAAATATTTTCTTCTAACTCTTATATTTATTTATATGAAATTTTAAATATAACGAGCCTAATCAAGAAGCTATTTATTTCCAAAAATTGTTTGAAAGTTAAAGTTCACTTTTAGTCAGTTATTAATGATGTCATTATAAATCTATTGTAGCATACCCTGAAAAATGGCATTCAGTGAAGAAGACAAGCATTTTATAAAATGTTAAAGACAGAGTAAACATTATGGAGCAAAGAGATTAATAAAAGAGCTGTGACTATCTTGATTATTATTTTTTTGAACTACAATCGTTCATAATTTCATGTAAATGGACTGCTAAATATAAGAATTCAAATAAAATAATAGGGGGTCCTGATTTAATGATTCAGGGTGTAGTGTTTCTTATACTCCAAAATGTCACCATAAATCATGCACTTATGGGTCATAGAATGTGTAGAAATTCCTTTTACAAAAATGTTCACATTTATATTGCTGTTTATGGTTTTTGTATGATCTCTGTGTTAGTATTAGGAGTAATTTCATAGTGAATGGTGTGATTTTTACTTTGTAACCTCTTACAGAAGAACATCCATATGCAAAGATCAAGCGGAATAGTGATCCTCAGGAGACAGATACTGATAATTATGATGACCTGGTGCTCACCAAAGGGTAAGAGCTTTGCTTACTTTGATTCTTCCATTTTGACTAAGTGGCAACAGTCTCCATGAAGTATTGACCCTCCACTTTCTTAAAATTGATTTTGCATGTATTGCAGGTGTTATATGAGGTCTGATCAAAAAGTATCTGGCCACATTTTTTTTTCCTTTTTAACAAGAAGACACTTGAGGCGGGGGAGTAGGGTGCATGTGACCTTGAACCTCCGTGCGCATGCTTGAATTATTAATCGTCGCTCAGACTGCTGAGTTACCTTCAATCAGTCAAAATCTATTGTTGTGCATTTTCTGTGCATCGCATTGATGATGACTGAGAAAATTGAGCAGCACATTTGCATCAAGTTTTGCCAGAAACTTGGGCACTCATGCTCAGAAACATATGGTATGATTCAGAAGGCTTTTGAGAATGAGGCAATGGGCCATATGCAAATTAAGGAATGGTTTAGGCGGTTCAAAGAAGGAAGGATGTCAGTGGAGAGTGGTGAATGCTCAGGGAGGCCATCCACGAGCAGGAACCAACAGATGATTGACAAAGTGCGTGCTGCCGTGTGAGAAAACCGGAGGATAACAATTAGAGAGCCGTCCAATGAGTTGGGGATTTCGTTTGGTTCGGTACAGTCCATTCTGACAGAAGATTTGGCTATGAAACACGTCTCAGCAAAATTTGTCCCAAAACTGCTGACAGTCAAGCAGAAGGAAGCTCGCCTTGCGGTAGCCAGAGATTTGCTGCAGTGTGTTGATCAAGATGCAAACTTTATGAAAACAATAATTACCAGTGATGAATCGTGGGTCTACGGTTACGATATGGAAACCAAAGCCCAGTCATCACAATGGAAGACTCCTCAATCACTGAGGCCAAGGAAGGCTCGCCAAGTTCGAAGCAGAGTCTAAGTGATGTTGACTGTTTTCTTCGATCACAAAGGCATTGTTCACCATGAATACGCACCAGATGGCCAAACTGTAAACAAGGAGTACTATGTCGAAGTCCTCCGGCGGCTGAGTGATGCGGTGCGGCGCAGGAGACCTGCGTTGTGGGAGCGGGGCGACTGGCAACTGCACCATGACAACGGCCCCGCCCACTCATCACAACTTGTCCAGAACTTCTTGGCCAAATGTCGAATCCCGCAAGTTCCGCAACCCCCCTATTCACAGGACATGGCTCCGTGTGACTTTTTCCTTTTCCCAAAGTTGAAAAAAATGCCATTGAAGGGGAAGTGGTTTGAAGACACAGAGGAGATAAAATGTAATGCGACGACACAGCTGTTGGGTATTCCACAGAGCGAGTTCCAAAAGTGTTTTGAACAATGGAAGGACCACTGGAACAAGTGTGTGGTGTCAGAAGGGGCCTACTTCGAAGGAGATTAGGACAGCAACACCGTAGTTTAGAGAGTTTTTTTTTTTCCCAGCCATTGGTTGGATACTTTTTGATCAGACCTTGTATAGTCTTTATAGTCTCCCAAGTCACTTCAATCTATCAGGGAGTATTTCTCATGGTGCAATTCTGAAACAAAAAGCTTCCAAAGTGAAAGATTCTTTGGGAGAAGGTTGCAGATTCTGATGACATTATGAGACAGCCTTGTTTAAGGACCTGATGCTCCCAATTGTGTTCATACTTTCTTTTGGTTTTCATTCTACTTGTGAAAGCATTGGAATAACTGATTTCATGAAATTATGCAACTCGGTGGTGGTTATTTTTGATTGAAAAAATTGAACTCATGCAAGGATAAAAGTTAGAATGGGTTGATCTATTTGTTTGTTGAGTATCATGTGGTCTTATGATTCCTTTTCAGTCGAAAGTGGAGTTCAACAGATTCAAATATCTATGAACCACCTCCTGTGCCAGAGAAAAGACTGGACATAACATTCCCCATCTCAGAGGAAGCTATAACCACTGGAGCTGATGCCTCTGCTTCAGCATGCTCTCTGTCCTCTCTTCCATCACCACCAGCACCATTTAAGGTACATAGCTCTGAATAGTCCTTTTCATTTTGTGTGTTCAGGTTCAGTTATTCATCCAAAGTGATGAAATAACCAAGAATTGCTCTGGTTTTAGAGCTTAGAGGGACCTTTGTAAGAAGTGGCACTAATGCATTCTGGATTGAGGCCAATGGCACCAATTAAGACAAAGAATGGGGAGGGAGGGATTCTTGAATGTGTGACTATGGAATATTAGCTAAAAGTGGAAGTTAGCAGAGTCTTATTGAGTCATTGCAATTACAGTATGGAGCTAACCATGTGGTGATCTCATGTCTTCTTTAGCAGCACTAAGATCTGCTCTTGAGAAATATGAAACAAAAGTTCTGAATAATTATTTTTTCATAACTCCTAATTAAAATTTTTTTAATGCATTGTTTGTGCTCTGCTACTTGTATCAAGGTTGATACTTGAGTGCTTTTTGGGAGAACATGAAGCTTGCAGAAAGCAACAAATCAACATCAGTATACTTTGTGATGTGCCTACAAGTGTAATAAATGTCAAAATCTAGGTCTTTTTTTTGGTTTGGAAATGGAACTGGAAGGAGTTGGGAACATTTATCCCTCCTGGGATAGGAGTGAAAACCTTTTGGGAGTTGGACTGACAGTCTTTGGGAGCAGTGGGATTAGGATCACATACCTCAATTGTTTGGGAGTATAACAATTGGGCAAAAAAGTGTATACAAAATAAAATTAAAAAATGAAAACTAGGAGGATAGGATTGGAAAACATGATTTCCCCCTCCTTGCATGGACCACAGTAATCTAGCTGCAGTGCATGTGAAAGGGATCATTGATAATAATCAATAAGCTTGGATAACTAAAGCATGGCATGGGGTGAAAAGCAATGCCTACAGTTTGAGAATGGGGGGATTAGTTGTGAAACTTGTTCAAGAGCAGCAGGAATGGGATTGAGTGGGTCGGAAGTGATGGGAAGTGAGTGGTGGGATTGAGACTGAAGTGGTTTAGGAGCAATGGGAGTGAGACTGGAGTGGTTTTAGAGTGGAGTTGAAGTGGTTCAAGAGCAGGACTGGAAATTAGAAACGAAATCCAGGAGCACCAGTTGTAGGAAACAGAAGGAGTTGTATCTCTTTCAGCTATCCTACATGTATTCTTATAATGTATCTTGCTATTTTGGCCCAAAGATAGAATTCAGTGAATTCAATACAAAACTTAGTGAATCATTCATTGTGCTGAGATGGTGATACATTTTATAGTGTATGGTTGTGTCTCATTCTATGGAGAAATCCTGCTGCAGTCCCTACGCAATCATATTTCTCAGTTGATTTTAGCTTTTTCCCATGAGATAGACTCTTAGGAGATATTAAAATATTATTGTAAAAAAAAAGTTGCCAGTTTTGGAATGTTGTGGGAATGGTTTCAGGATGAAGCAGCACCACCTCCCCCAGATCGGTTTCGCCTCCCAGGAAGGCAGACCGGAAAGACAGACTCATTCAGTGCAGCAAGTGCTATTTCTGGCCAGACAAGGGCGAATGCAGAGCTTCCTTACATGACACCTCCTCTTCTTCGTGCTAGTGAAGAGAGGGACCGTCATGATGGATGCTCACACTTCAGTGGTGATTCTCAGGATTCATTCAACAGTCAGTCTACTTTTCAGATCAGACATATGCCACATTTGTTGTGTATCAAGGAGAAAGCATGGTTTTTTTTGTTGTTGAGTAGAGGGGTACACATGCATTTGTGTGAGGGAACCGCTGTCTCACATTAGGACACGATTGGTTGATCCTCATGTACAAGTGAATCCTGACTCTCCATATGCAACAGTCACTGATGATTCTGGTGAGGAATTTTGACTCTTTTATCACACTACATCAGAACTTTATTTTTATGGCAATGCTTGCTCCACAAACTACAGATGATATGTATGCTGCCATTGAATCAACATACTCTGCTGGAGAAAGCGAGACTTATGCTCAGATCCAGCTTTCTCCATCTGGTGTTGTACAAGATGAATCTCAGCCTCCACAACCCCCCAGTGTTGACAGTCTACGATCTGTCACACACTCATTTGGTTTCCATGGTAAGCCATTCAAAAGTCCTAGTTTCCTTAGATGTGTAAGGTGCACTGTCTTACTAGCTTGAGGTTTAACTCTCTGTCATGATCATGTTGTGAAGCTAGCTGTTGCTCCTGATAGTGAGATCAGTTGCTTTTTAGGTTTTCATTTTATCTGGCTTATGTGGAGGCTCAAAGAGATCATTACAGGATGTCAGTTGTACATGTAATTCATTTGGCAAGCATACTTTGCCAGAAGCACAATATGGTCACTCATCTTTTGGTCTGCATGAAATCTTATTTCTTAAACTTGGTCCTTTTGAATTGGGCCACATTTCTTGTGAAATTGGTTTTTATTAATAAAAAAAAACCCTTGGAATGGGACAAAATACAGTACTCATAGCTCTTGGGAAGCCTTTATTAGATCAAGGATATTGAAGCAGTATACCCCCTCTGTAAAAGTCATTCTCTTTCCTGTAGACTGTGGCTTGAAGAAGGAATTAAGTGATTGATCATGCTATCATTGGCTAAATGTATGGAAGGATTTCTGATGAAGTTGTGCAATTATAACACAGAAATAAAGATTGAAACACAAGAAATTTGGCGCAATTCAAAAGGACCAAGTTTAAGAAATAAGATTTCATGCAGACCAAAAGATGAGTGACAATATTGTGCTTCTTGCAAAGTATGCTTGCCAAATGAATTGCATGTACAACTGACATCCTGTAATGATCTCTTTGAGCCTCCACTAATTTACTTAGTCAAGTACATATTGGAATGGGCCAATAAAAAGTAGATATGCACATAATTCAATGCATGGCTGAAGTTAGCTCTGCTGTTGATACTGCTCAATGAAACTTTCTTAGGACTGTTACACAATGTTTTTCTTTATCTTCAGGAGAAGGACTGAGATTGCATTAGCATTTTACCACCTTGCCCATCATCCAGTTCAAGGCTCTATTCAGGCTCTCATTTAATATTCTGAGACTGGATTAGCAGTGAGAAATTCTCATTTTTATGGGGTTTTCATCACTACTTCTTTGCATTATTTTGGATGTTCTGATTAGTCTTTCTTTAAGCAAAGTGGAGTTGCCTCCATTGTGTGTAAGCATCTTCTTGATAGGATCCATCTATTGCAGGCTCTGACCCAAGTCTCCACAGTGGGACAGGCTCTCCACTGCCAGGAAAACGGGAACTTAATTCGCCTCTACCACCAGCTCCACCATTTGACCCCCTGGCTCCCAAGACTCTGGAAGAGATGTATGCAAAGGTGACAAAACTCAAAGGCCTCACCCTTCCTCGTAATGCAGAACACCTGCGTCTCAGTCCCGAATCAAAACACAAATGCGGTGGCAGTGATTCCTCAGATTTCCTCCAGCGCTCTTCTTGGGCGGGTGCAGCTACATTTGCTGACATGAACTTTTCAGACTATGAAGTGGTTCGAGAAGGATTAGCAGCTCAGCCTTTGCCTGCAGTTGTGTTTGCTACCACTGTTGAGTTGGACGACTGTCCAAACTATGAGACCATTCAAAGGGAAGGGAAATATTCAGGTTCAGACCCCGGTTATGAGACGGTGAAAGGTGCCCTTGAACCTCCATATTCTAAAGTTAGGGGAGAAGGGGATGAAGAATCAGAAGTTGGCTATGAAACAGTGAAGAATCTTTCCAGATCACTCTCTCCTTTCCTCTCCTCAGATCCCGGTTATGAGCATATACAAAAAAAGGAGTCTTTCAAGTCTGATCATGGGTATGAACGTGTAGGATTAGAAGTGGCAGAGCCAAATTATGAAAGTGTTAGTGCAGGGGAAGACACTGACAGCCTGTCTGCATGCCCACCTTATGAACGATTGAAAGCCCCTGAGGATTCAGATGGTGATTCAACTCCCGGTTACGAACGGGTCCATCGGATGAATGGGGATGAGGAGTTCCAAGAAGTGGATCTCCAGGACTCAGCAGATGGGCTTCCGCTCTATGCCAAAGTGAACAAGTCAAAGAAGAAAGAGAAGATGGGAGAGAGAAGTCCAGTTTCCTTTCGGAGGGATTGTAGTGAACGGTCATCAGAGCAGAGTTACCGCTCAGCTGCATCCCACGCAACGACAAACACAAATGGTTCCCGGAAGTCTGAGATCATTGAGGATGTCCTCTTGCATCTCTGACCTTGTCTCTATGCATTTATACTCTCCAACTGGGTACTCTTTCTTTCATCTATTCATTCTTGTGTTATTCCAATGCATGTCAGAGTTTATTTCTTGTGAATTCTTAATGGAAATTAACTTATTGCTACAATTGGCCAATTTCCATAATTGTTCTTTGGAAAACAAAGTTCCTTTTGCTTCTATAGGAGAATAAGTTTTCTCAGCATGCTTGTGTATTTATATCTTATTCCCCTACATTGACCCTTGTTATTACCAAAGAGGTTGTCATGAGAGCATGAGAGTTAAAGAAAAATTAGAGGCTATTGAAAGAGTGATGATTTGTTCAAACAATGCCTGTTTTTGTCTTTCATTCTGTATGAGAGGGCCTAAACAGCAATGCGCTCCTTAGCAAACCGTGGCAATCCTGCTCCTTAGTATGTTGAATCTGGTTCATTGTGAGGATCATGTGTGAAGAGATTTGTACCTGTAGCTTGCCTTAATCAGGGCAGCATTTCTTTTCTTTTTCACTGTTGCAATATGGTACAAAAATGCATTTGACTTGCCCAGCATTGATTCCCTGTTATTGTCACAAAGTGTGTGGCATTCCCTGTTGCATGATGTGAGTACCCCGTTGACAGGTTATTGACGGAAAGTTTAGGTACTTTCTCTAGTTATGATTCTATTGTCATTGTATCTGTATTGAGCTATTTATGGCATGATTGCAGTGACTATCAAGTCTTCTTACTGATCTTGGAGACTGTGACTCTTGTCCAAGTTTCTGAACTATTGACATGTTTGATTATTGAATATTGTTGCACCTCACCATTCAAAGGATGCATTTTGTTAGGACTTCCATCATGTCTTTCTATTACTCATGTCATTTGTAGCATTCATAGTGGAAATCAGCATAATAGGATCTTGTGATTTATAAACAATTAGCTCAGTGAGAGGAAAAATGCTCATTCAAGAGAAGAATTATAGTTTTCACATGTGTGGAGCTTCACATATCAGTGGTGTTCATCGTTTCACCATTATTCATTGAGAATGGAGAAATGAATCACAGGAATGGGAGTATGCTGCCAGTTAAGAAGAAGCTTCTTGTCTTGGTGAACTGGATGAATCATTTTTCTAGTGGTTATATATTTAGTAGCTTTACTCAAAGTGAAGAAAAAGAAGATACCAGTAAATGATAGCAGCCCACATATACCATGTGTCATGCTTGATGAAAAAGCTAGGGTGAATGCATTGATAGGCAAAACGAGGGCTTCAGACCAGGCCATCCATACTTTTCTTGGGCACGGTCATTCTCTTCACTCAGTTCAGAGGTACCATATATATTCAATAGCACTTCATTTGGAAGATTGGAAGGATGTGATGAGGGCCATGTTCTTGCCACTGTTCCCCCTTTCCTCCAGACCAAAAAGCTCTTGTCCTAAGCCTACCAATGTCCTCTTTCCCTCCACAGTATTTCAAATTCATCTTCCATTGATATCACTTTCCATGCAACAGTGGTGCAACTAGAGTTTCTAAGGGTGGGGTTTCACCTGCTCTTGCTGTCTGCCTGTTAAGCGAATGGAGGTCGAGTAGTAACTTTCCTGGCCATCAAATGTCTTGATGTGTTCAAGATATATTCCTAGATATACCCACTCACCCTCTTGTTTCTGCTTGGGGGGTGTCCAGGTCTTGGGTTCAGACGCCCTGAACTTGGATGCACCACTGCCTCTAAATATTTCTTCTTTAAGTCGCCTCATTTCATGCAGGAGTTACATTTCACCATCCACAGCGATGGCATCATCAAATATCAATCCTCTGTCTTGCATCTCCAGTGACTGAATGTCTGTATTTTGCCCCTAGTGAATGCAATCTATTCTAATACTGTGTAGCAGAAAGAATGTAGGACCCATTTCCCCATGAAACCTAAGTGACTGTAACCTTTACTATTCCTGTGATGCAGACGGGAATGTTTGACCAGTTTCACCATTAAACCGATCTTGTTTTGTTGTCTGCTAGGACGATCATTCTATGCAGCTAGTCCTCAGAAGTCAAAGCTACCCACCTACCCTAATGCAGGTAATTATATTACGCTGTATTTTTCTGTGTGGGCTGCTGTTATTTCTGTGGACAAACTTTGTTTTTCAGGGTACTATGCTGAGATTTTGACATTCCAGAGTTTTAGAATTTATTGAGTTTTTGACTCCTAAACTGTCCAACTTAGTGGACCATTTCGCGAGTTGACCTTGTCGGTTTCTTGGTCCCCGATTTTGTATCCTGGCATGTTTTCCTGGTGCAAGTCTTCCTGTAGGTCCCTCTCCTTTCTTTTGGAGTGATCAACGCATTTCCGGATGGTTGATCCATTGATCTTCGCAGGAGGAAGAGACTGGTGATAAAGAGTCTTCATTGCGAGAGGGATTGATGGTCGTGATCTCTTTCTCTCGAGGGTAACTTTTTCGTTTTTCCCCAGAGTTTAATTTTATATGGATGAGATGTATCCTTACGGAATAAAGTGCATACTTCCCATGTCGAAAATGGGACTTTTTTTCTATGACATGGGACGCGATCAATCGCCTCGGCTCGGTAGCTTCATTTTTTGCGCTATTTTCCTATTAATAGCCTCAATTCATACCTGAATGTCAAATCATCACGAGGCGGAAAATGTTTCGTTTGTTCGAAATCGACGAAATTTTGACTCCTTTTGGTCGGATCATGTACAATTAATTACTGTATCAGTACCTAAGAAGGAAGACGAGTCTGGGATGAGATGTCTTTGCGATCATTCACATTTTTCACCAGGATGAGTTATTCTACCGCGACCCCATTAAATTGGGAAAAGCGGCCAAGAAAATGAATGAATGAGTTATTCTCGAGTAAATGCGTCAAGCTGGATCTCTTGCACAAATATCAGGTCCCGACGTGTTGCATTTCGTGATCTCGCGGTGAAAGTGAGGATCGTGCGAGAAGGAACCGGCTGAGGCTTCACCTCGACGACAAAAAGAAAGACGAAGGTGTTTCGAACGAGAGTTCGCGCAACTAGAGCAGGGGAGAAACCCCAGTGAGCTTCGTTGCTAGACGGTTCCGAAGAATGTTGGGGGTTAAACCATCCGTGAGAATGCGTGTAATTCTAGGATGAATTCCCATCCGGATGAATTATAATGGAAACGTCGTTCCGTGTTTCACGAAAGGGTTAACTCGGGTGCATTGTGGAGATTCTGCTCTGCGTTTCGCGCTTATTGCCCACAATGGAATCGAGTGAGAGTTTCATGCGGAAACACGAAAAAAAGGTTAGGTACTACACGAAAGCTGTCTTCGCTGCACGAACACGGAAATAAAAATGGGGGCAAAGGAGTTGTTAGTGTTTCGTTTTTCATTACGGCGGTCCCACCCAATCCAGTTCGCTCGAAGACATTGTTCGTGTCGCATCCTCATTCCGTGTAGATTTAATCTAACGGAGTTAAACATCGTCAGACCCATCAAGTCTTTCCACAAGGTCATCAAAGCAACTTTCAAGATGAGCAACCAAGCGAGCGGATGACACCCTGCTCCTTGATCTTGTGCCCTACATTTGTGACAAACAGGATCAGGAACCATGACACAATAGGAAGGGTCTCGGAATGCAGTTCATTACCAGCAGCTGCTTGTCAGTCGGGAAGATGGTGCCAACAGCCAGTAAATATCTCGCTCCAATGCTTATAAACGTTTCTGAAGAGCCCAGACTGCCTTATATAAGGACTGTCTAAAATGACATGATGAAAAAAAAAATCCTCCAAGTATAAATTTCAAAACAAACTTCATGAATAGAGTCTTTTTATCATCAGAAAATCCTTTATGGGATCTAGATCATTCTGTGCTTCACAATAGAAAGCGACTCTTTTCAGTGCAATATAATCCTCAGGTTAGCACCTGGATAGGCTGCCATCGGTGTCATCACCATCATCATCACACAACAGAGAAGGCAAGCGCAGAAGTGGGCCCAACAAGGAACCAGAGACCGGCGAGCATAGGCACGACGCGTCCGGTCAGGAGCGGTACGTGCGGATGACGTCTCGGATGATGGCGCGGCAGATGGGACACTGGCCGTCCCCTTGTCCTCGCCACTGCTGGATGGCGCACTCGTAACACATGCACATGTGACCGCACATGTAGAGGACGCTGTCCACGGGCTTCTCGTAGCACACACTGCATTCGCTCAGGATCTCCATGCTCGTCCCATTTTCATCCATGAGAGTTGTTTTGGAGGCAGTGGTTGCGGCAACCTGAAGCCTTCCCGACATGGATCGTGCCACCTGCATGACGACAGAGAAGCAATTAGTCATAGTTATAACTCGTTCCATTGCCGTTGCAATTGGCACTTCCCAAATACCTAGCCTGACGTCTTTCATGTGCAAGTAACAATAGGTGCGAAATACGAAAGTCTCATGAAAATTTTAATTTATAAAGGCGATTATACAGAACCGATGCAGGAAGTTGTGATTGCTCCTGTCCCTCCATTGAACCAATAATTAGTTTGCATAGGCCCTACTAAGTTTTTGTTCCTTTTCTTGCAACAAAAATCTACAGACACAAGCACAAATGACCCAGTCATTCAAAGGTCTCACCTCCACAAAGGCCTAATGAATATGTCGCCATATGATAATACCAGTTTTTAGAATCTATTTGGGACACTCTTCTGGTTTTGTCATGACACTCTTCATTACCAGCTGCTGCATGTCAGTCAGGAAGACTGGGTCAACCAATAGTTCAGATGGGCCAGAAAGGCCCATCTGAACTGATGGTTGACCCAGTCAATTCCCCCAAACCCAAACCAAACCCAAACCCCAGCAATTCTTGCATGCAATATGCATATATGTAATATGCATGCAATAGTTGCCACTGCAAAGATTAAGAAAGCCCTTCTTAACAGTCATACGAATAGAGCTGAGTCTGTTCTTATTCCTACCCTTTGGGATGCCCTTCCAGCAAGCTGTTGCTGTGGTGTGATGTACCATAATTCCTCATGCTTTCACTCTAAACTTCAGCATATGTGCATCACAAATATTAATATATAATATGAAACTGAACACACATCTACCCAGGGTGATGTATGATGAAACCACCAGAAATGTGCAGAATCTTTCGCATAATCACTTTCACCAGTTTACATCTACCATCCTACTAGAAAAACTCAACGATGAAGATGTGGAATATCTTAATAAGCTTTCAGCATCCCAGACTTTTATGAAAGGTTTGAAAATCTTGCAAGGGATGAACAAATTATAATGCTCTGCATTTGAGCATGCTGGTAGTAATTCACAGACCATCACATCATACTTAAAGACAACTTTCCAGAATATGTCTTCCTTATTAAATGCCTTATTAAAAACTAACCTGAGAGCAGTTGAGGGCAATCGTCTCATAAAGATGCTCTTGATCAGAAGTAGAGCACATTGGACTAGGCAGATTCACTCGAAGTGGAGACTGTTGAATGCAGGAGACTGCTGGAGGTGTGGACTGAGGTGATGAACTGGGAACAGGGGGAGGGGGAGGAGGAAGGGTAGGCATTGAGAGGGGATGCGGATGAAGGAGATGACGACGGCGATGGGGACTAGATTCATAAATGGTATTAGATGGCATGGGCAATTCCTGCTGGGGGAGATTCACCACCAGCTGCCCCGCCGGAGCAGGAACTGCAGGATGTTGGGGGGAGTGAGGATGGGAATGCTGTGTGGGCCTGGGGACTGGCTGCCAGGGTCGCATGTGGATCTGTCCAAAGCACTCCACGCTCACCAGACCACCACTCAGATCCCAGAACATCCAAAGTGGGAGGGTGTGATCCACATGCATCTTCACACTCTCAGGGCTCCCATTCTTTCCAACTGTCACAGCTCCTACATGAGTACACATCATCAATGATGAGACACACTAAAACATAATGTATGCAGTTTCTACTAGAAGCATAAATTGTTAAAAAATATTAAACGGTCATATATATGGAAAGATCACAGATTCTATCTCCTGCATCTCCTGAAGAGCAATTCCAGCAAGCATGCACTTGTGACTTATGTGATATGGGTATCTGCCTTACGAAATTCTTCTTCATTTTATGAGAGAAATTCGTCAAGTGGCTTTCACAGCTAAAATTTGGGCAGATTCACACCGTACATAAGTAGGAGCTCACCATTGTGATCAATGCAGAACACAAGTTGATCACCAGGGGATAGGAACCCCACCTGGTCTCTACACACGACCCAATACTCTGGTCTATCTAGGAGACCATCTGGGTCGTCTGGAAGATCGGTGAGTCGAAGCTTGTTCGGATCGCAGCTGGTCACTCCAAAGCAAATCCCTGAGGTTTGCACAGATGCAGACGACAGGATCTGAAAGCGATGCAAGTAACCTTTGCATTTTTCATTCTGGACACAGTTAACATGCTGGTTTTGCCAATACACAAGTCCGTTATTCTATCAATTAGTCTTGGGATAAGCTCAAACAATAAACACAAAACACAACAGTTTTTCTCTTTGTGGAAGTTTCATATGAAAGAGGCAATTTTTCTTCAATGATAACTTCTCAACAACAACAAAAAATACATTCAACGACTATTGTCTTCATTAGTCCCGAGCCATAAGCAAACCACATGGAAATGAAATCAACTTTATTCCCCAAAATGAAATATTAGTGTCTCTAGAGGCTTCTTCTGTCTCCTCATCTCTCTCCTTTAGCTGTTTTGAATTTTGCAGAGATATGTAACTATATGCATATCTCTATAGCATGTCCATACCATCTCCATAACGGAATTGTTGAACAAAAAGAGAATATCAACAGTATTTTGGACTCCAATTAATAAACTGCATGGGAGGCACACTAAATCCCACTGTTCGCTGCTAAATTTGAGGCCCACTGAAGTCTTACTCGAATTTAATAACTGGAATAACTCGAAAATTTCAGTAGTTCTCCTGGCAAGCTGGCTAGCTAAATGAGCCTCTCAGGCCCATCATCTATTGGCAAGAGAGGAATAACATCAAAAGTAGATCGAGTTTGATGGGGATATTCAGGGGATCCCGACTCCCATTTCTCAGGGCAATTTTTTTTTAAATCAGGTAAAATTTTCGAAAATTCTCACGTAGTATCCATGTTTGATCCAAGTGGGACTGTTTCATTAGATTATTCCTTTTATCAATTTTCTGTCGAGTCAAAGTGGTCATGCTTAAGCATCCGATTCGTTCTTCGGAGACCCTCGGACTCAGACAAACATGATTTTGCAGACAGTCAAAATTACCTCATGACCCATTCACTGATTTTTGGCAAGGAAGGATTCAACACTCACTCGAAGGATGACCTTTTCACCAGATCGAATTGACTGGGGAGTGAAAATATATCCATTCGGGTGCTCAAATGCCGTCTTCCAGGCAACACACCGGTCGTTACTCAAGCGGACGCTGCGCCCTCTCAATCTGAAAATCAGATCGAACACCTCAATGAAACACTTTTTCCCAAGTCTCTGCATGCACATCCCAAAACATCAAACAGTAACAGTGTACGTCAAGCGGTAAACACAAATCATATCAAACTAGTCTTCACAGTCTCGACAGTCTTCACTGTCGAGTGTCGACAGTGAAGACTGTCACCACAACTTCACAAGACACGACATGGAACCCACCCCGACACTGTGAAAAAACCCGAGACCCACCTGTGGAACGGCAGCGGCATGAACCCCGAGGGCGGTGGAGGGTTCCCCGGCCCCTGCAGGTGCTGCTGGGCGGGCTGGGGCATGACGCCGTCCGGGCGGGCGACGCGCGTCGGGGACGGCGTGCACGCCGGGGACACCCGGGGCGGGGTGTGGGCCACCGTGGCGTCCGGGGGCGGGCCGATGATGCGGTGGGACGGGGACGGCGGGTCCAACTGCAGCCGAGCGAGCGACGGCTGCAACCACCGCTCCATATCCGCGTCTGCGACCGAGTGATCCAAGCTCCTCCGGGAATTGTTCATGTAATCACGAAAATCTGTAAAAAGGAATCACCCATCTCGTCATCCACCTCCACCCACTTCGGAGGAAACCCCCCCAGCGCAACGCCCACCCACCGACTAGTTGCACGGCCGTGGAGTTGCCATAGATGTCGACGAGCGCCCACAGCGGGCCGCGGGTGTCCACCCCGCTGAAGAACACCCCCTTCTCCTCCCCGTTGAGCGAGAAGTGCACGTCCCCCGAGGACGTGGCCCAGAACGCCAGGAGCTCCCCTTCCACCGCCAACCTCTCGGCCAACGCCTTCGCCCAGTAACCCGGCTTGTTCGTCAGATCTGCACGGGGCGGACAGAGAGACGCGATCGTGAGACTTCCTTGCCACATCCGACCGTTACAAAGGGCACAAAGTACGAAATTAGAATGCAAAGTACGATGACGGCCGACAATTTAAGATTAGATGACTGTTAAATCAAGGATGAACCAACGCTTGCATCACCTCGACGAACACTCAGCACTTTTCTTTTTTCCTCGTATGAACAAGACTATCTGTATACATCGCCCTTGCAATAGAAAGTACTTCACCACAGCTCTTTTTCAAGGCGCCAGTCGGCCCTCTCACTCGACCGCAACCCACCTGGGCAAGCGTATTTGGGCAGACTCCCGCGGAAATTGGCCGGGTTCGAGTTGGTGAAACCGAACCGGACCGCCCCGCTCCAGTTCGTGCTGATCTCGAGGAAGTTCAGGTACACCTGCACAAAAAAAAACCAACCCTCAGCCCCCAAACTCCCTTCAAAACCTCTATAAAAAAAAAAAAAACTGTACCGACCTTCTCGCCGACCTTGACCGGGCGGTTGGAGAAGACGATCCCCTTGCAGAAGCTCTCGACCCGCCGCGCGATGGTCTTGTCCGGGGACAACCGGATGTTCTCCCCGTGCAGGGAACTGAACCGCAGGGGGGCCAGGTTATTCGTTCCGAAGTTCGTCCCCGCTGCTGTAATAAAAATAACAATACTTAGTCTGACTGAAGGAGAAAATAAGTGGGCGTAACAGGAATATCGGGAAGACACCATGCAACAACATTCACGTGGAAAAGGGATGGGGAAAGTTATTTTTAAAAAGTTACTTAAAAAAAAAAGGCCACACAACTGCGACATGAACTTGGTTTTCCTCGGGTCATGACCCGAAGTCATGCGAATGAAAAACTTTGACGTTCTCGCGGCACACTAACCCACTCGACCCCTTTCCGACCCCAACTGCCATTACTCTCTAACAGACCGACCATCATCTACGGGCAATGGACCGCAAAAAAATTCCCAGCCAAAACGAGTTCTCGCAGGGCTCCAGTTCGTTGAACGTGCCATGCTCAGGGGCTCACAGGGTCTTAGGGTCTATTCATGCTTAATGCCCTAAATCATGCCACACAGCATGCATTGTTAAAAAATGTATGGAGGGGGGGAGGGGTTTCCTCAGGGTAGATCCATTCAAGCTAAGTCTCACGCATTTTTTAGGAGCAGATCCGAATGCATTACGTATTCCCCCTTCTTCAAAGCGCTGAGGTGCGTTTCAACCAAGGCTCAAGGCAGTTTCAATGAGAACTGGGACGGGAAGTCGAGGTGACGCAAACCTGACCACGGATTTAATCGCTCGCGAAAATGTGAAGATGATTAAAATCCTTCCCTTCGGACATTTTGTCACCTCTAGGTTTCAATCTATCAGATGAGAACTGGACTTTGGGGGACGACACACATCGTGCTAAAAGAAAAAATAATCATTGATCAATACTGCACCGAGAAGATCCCTCATAGAATTTAGATTAATTTTGCACCGTAGCTATTGAGCAAAAAATGTACAATTCATGGCCCCTAAAAAACCTAGGCGGGATAGGTTGCAAAATTAGAAAACATCTCCGCGGGACCGAAAACAAAACTGGTTCCCAGGGATGAAACTGGAGCTGGCTGAGAAGGAACCGCACGGCAGGCACCTTCCTGCATATCCGGTTTCGAACGTTCTCGAGACCATTCGCCAGCGGCTTCTTTCATGCGCGGGACTGCGATTCAAGCAGTCCTTCGCATTCCTCGAAGTACATACCACGAGTACCATCCTCGTTCTTGAAGATACCAGCCAAAAAAAGAAATAAACAAACAAAAGAAACCCAAGCAGTCATGCATCTGCGCTACGCATGCAGGCATGCATCTTGTCGTGCCTCGAGTAAAAGTGGTCGGGGGGGAACAGAATGACGGAGAACGAACCAAGGCCGATTTTCTTCTTGAACTTTTTCAAAACCTTCATGTTCATGCCCCTTCGCTTTCGGGTCTTCTGCCCGGATGAGCAAAGTCGGTCAGATCAAATTATACGGACTAGAATCACCACTTTCAATTAAGAAAGCATGAATATCTGAAACGGGAAAGGGAACTGGCATTAGGCGTCGCATCTTAACTAAACTAAAACAGACATCAGTCACAGGTTTAACTATTATAATAAATAAATAAACAAGGGCGTGAACCAAGGATGCACCACCACCCGATCGATCACGCTGCTGACAACGACATCCTTCTCGGAACCGTCAACGAAAACCCACACGACATCCTCCCCAGCACTGCCAATGAAAGCCGGAAACCCACCGTCGCGAATCGCAAACACCGCTAAGCGTCTGACGGTAAGCTCTCCTCCACCTCATCGATCGATGACCACTAGATGCCAATACTTCCTACGGACTCCACCTTCCTAGTTCAACGACTTGATGCATCGAGTGTAAACACTGCTCGGAGCACAACCGGATGCTCGGGAGCGGATCGGAACGATTGTTGCCTCTCGCACTTCCGGTACTCCGGGATGGAGACAGACAGAGAGCGGCAGAAAGAGCAAGCGGAAGAGGCAGGGGGGGGGGGGGGGACAGGAAGCAGGGCTTCCTTAGGGGAGGACGGAGCCTGGGCTCGGGATACACCTCACCTCCCAAGCGTTCTTCCTCTTTCCTCTCACTGAATCACGCTCTCTCCTGCCACGATCTGTCACGCCCTTCGAGGCTTCGCCATGGTCCCCCACCCCCCCAAACTGTCCCTGGTCGCACCGAGGCTGATGAGACCCTCACAGATGGAAGACTTCGTTTAACCGAGAGAAGCCTGCCGAGCGCACGCGCTTTGATTCCTTGCTGGATGAATGATACTCATTCGTTATATATCCATGAGATTTTAGACGACACACAACGATAAATAACAAAGGTAACGCGCGCGTAGTTGAGATAAACATGGGTCGGTATCAAGGCTTCACTTAGATGCTATTCGCCCCCTGATGAAACCAAATGGTGACTCATCGAAACCACCACACCACATAGATTCGGTTCACTCGCAAACGTTCTTATCTGTTTACAGGAGGGAGGTCAAGTGCTCGAGCACGAGAAGCATTCCGTTCACGAACCGGAAAAAAATATTCCAAAACACAAAAATCACCCATCGCCGTGATCACGATCACCGACCCTCCCAGTCGGCACGACCGGCACCGTCGGCATACTCGATCGCCATCGCGAATCCCCGAACCGTGGTGGGAGAACCCGTCACGTCTGAGCGACCCGCATCGAAAAAAAAGAGCAATGCGAGGCATCCATCGCGGAGGGCGATGGCGCCGGGGATGTCACCGGGTCATCCCCGTTCCCCTACCCACGCGGGGCCCGAGCCCAAGGCCACGGAGGCGAGCGACTCCGGGGACCCCACCGAAAAATCTCAATTCGAGGGGAATCCTTTCCGCTTGACCCTCAAACTGACAGGAAATGGGAGTGGGGGAGGAGAGCATGGGAACCGCAGGGGGAGAAAAGAGAGAAGAAGCCTTCATATCCGGATCAACAGAGGACCATGGACGAGGGGGGGGAGGGCGCGAAGGAAGGAAGGGAAACGGCACGAGTGAAGACCTCGCGGTTCCCCCAGGAACATGGGTCGGCACCCAGTGCAAGCGGAAACACGGGTAGTCGGCAGAGCATGATATCCTCTTCCTCACTCACTCATCGACCGCAAAAGCCAAACCACGTTTCCTCCTTTTTTCCCTTTCGGAAAAGTCACCTTGCCGGGGAAATTAAAATTGGCGAAGGTGAAACTCAGGATACGATTCATCGCCAACGACTCGACCCATCGGATTCCTAAGCTAACAAAACACCCACGATACCATGCGAGACGACAAACGGGCACACACGGCACGGCTCGGCAACGATACCGATAAGATCAACTTCCCGCGCAACCGAATGCAAAAGCAACAGCTCCGCGAATGAGAATCGAAAACTCACGACTCCCACCCCTAACGACACGAAACCGACGAGTCACGATGACCACCAAAACCTTCGCAATCCGACAGACCGAAATAGCCCCAGCGCCATCTCGGAATTATTACACGCCCTCTCCCACCGAGACAATGGAGGCACGCGCTCCCATCGGGGCCCACCGAGACAGCTGCGACTTGGATCTCTCGACCCGAGCCAGCTGACACCAGACGCCCGGTCGCTGCGAGAGCGTATCTTGACCGGACAGATGATGCCGAGAGTCCTCAAGACGTGAAGCACTTCTTTTGCACATGACACGTACATCTCGAAAAAATATTTTTGTCACACGAATGGCTCCTGCCACATGAAGAGAAAGTGGCAGGTAGTTAATCGTAACGAGCTAAGAATTGAAATGTTAGCAGAAAATCACGGGACTGAACCTGGCCAAATCCAACCAAGACAACTACATGGCTCATAAATGTGGAAACGCAACGGACGGCACACTACGGATGAACGACCCTAACATGAAGACGCATCACAACGACCCACATCACACCTTCGCCTACGAGAATGAAAACGCGAAAGAAACCAAAATCCACCACCCCCTTCCTCCCCGTCGTCACCGCGACCGATCCCACCCCGAAAGACACACGGATCACAGAGCACCGCGACACGCGCCCCGCCACCTCCGTCACCGAGACGGTTAGCGTCGGGCAGCAGGGACGGGACTGAGGAGGGAGGGGCAGCCGGCGCGAGGCAAAAACCAAAACCAGCAACAGCAGCAGCAGCTGCTCCTCCCCTTCCCCTCCCTTCGGCAGCGCCTCTAATCACCCTCCCATCTGACGCGCTCTCCGTCCGCATGCTGCACGTCCATCACCGGTCTCCCCGTGTCCCGCATCCTTCGAGGCCGAAACCGAGCGGTCCGACGCACGAAACTGAGGCGACCGACGAGCGAACGATCCCCATCGAAACGCGAAAGGGCGACAGAAACGACGGCACGCGCTGCGATATGTGGTCGTTCCCCCCTCCCCCCTGGTTCCGGAAGGGACTCCTCATGGACAGATGCGAGCGGAAGCAGCAGCTGAAAAACACATGCGCCCCGAAAATCACCTCGCACACGTGAAACCAATGAGTTTCATCTCGGAAACGAATGCAACTCCGATTCCCATTCGAACCTCTGCGGGAGGGGGCTCACGAGATCCGGCATTTCCGTGCGACTCCCAAGAACTGCTAAACAAAACGACGAAACAAAACCAAGTGCTCCCCAAAAAACTGCCGATCCCACCGACGCGCGTTTCGCATCGCATCCGCATATTCCATCGGGCGAAATAAAGAAAACGCGGAAGCATAGCCATCACGGATACGCAACACTTTCTATCGCCTTCAATAGGCGATAGAAAGTGTTATCTCCGATCTTATCGCCTACAATAGGCTATGGAAAAGCGAGATATATTTACATAATTTTGAATAATGATCGCGAGAAGGCTGGCTTCGGTTGTGTTTCCGGAGAACGATTTCTTCAGCAACCGTCGAAAGTCGAAGGAACCCCCGAGGAGCTCGGAAATAGGAATTCACGGGTCCAACGAAAAGGACATTTTCGATTAATCTCATGAAAGCCCGCGCGCTGCGCGATACGAATCGTGAGAGGAGGGACGGGGCATAAACAAGGATTCGTCCGTTACTCGGCTCCATGGGAAATCAGTTGAGGCCTCCATAGGTCCTCCATTCCCACGCGGAACCGAGAAAGGGAGAGAGAAAGAAGCCCGGTGAAAAGGACCCATCCCGACGGGTGGGGATGGGGAAAAAAAGGTATTGTCGGCCGTAGCAAAGCATATAGAAAGAGACAGGGCCAGGTGTTCCCGGACGGGGTTTCAATGCCTCCCCATTCAACGAGCTCCAACGGCACGCGACACGGCCGATAGGGACGAGAATCCCCCCTCGGAGACACGGCCTCCCGACCTTAAGGAAGCGGCCACGCGACCCCCCGACTCCCGCGAGGAGATGAACCGGACCGAGGATGACGGGCCGTGGGGCGTCCG